CATCGTGTCGTCCCAGGCCGGCGCGCCGGTCTCGTCGTCGCGGAGGCTCACGTCGACGTCGCGGCCGACGGCGAAGCCGTCGTAGTCCGCGAGCGTCACGCGCGCGGCGCTCGCGGCCGGCGCCGGCGTCGCGGGCGGCTCGAGGTCGAGGCCCCGCGTCGCCAGGGCGAGGAGGCGGTCGGCCCGCGAGTCGAGGGCCGACTCGAGGGCGTCCCGCGACGTGACCCGGGGGAGGGTCGACGGCGGCGGCGACAGGGAGGGGGAGGGGGAGATGGACACTTTCGTCGACTCCTCGTAGGGCGTGAGGGTGATGGGCGTTTCGGCGCGCGTCACGGGGCTGAAGGCGCTCGTCTCGTCGTGGCCCTCGAGGCCATTTTTTTCCGCCATCGTGGCGAAACACACGTGAGGCAGATGTGAAGGCGTATGTGAGGCCTCGCCTCGGTCCGAGCTCGGCGGCCGGCGGCCCGAGGCCTGGCCCGCCGACGATCTCGTCCGCGGATGCGCCCGCGAAGGTGCTAGCGACCTAGCCGAGCGACCACATTTTTTAGGGCTTCGCGGCGAGGAGCTCCGCCTTTTTCGCCTGGAACTCGGCCTCCGTGACCGGAGAACGCGACGGTCCTCGAGTTCTCCCCCGTCGTGCGCCTCTGGAAGCGCGGCGAGAATCCGCGGCCCTGCTACCTGGGGCTCGCCGTGGGCCTCGGCCTGACCTAATACGCGCTCGCGCCGAACGAGCCCTTCTCCTTCGACGGCGGGCCCATGACCGTCCCCGTCGACGACCTCCGGGCGCTCCTGCGACTGATATAACACGCTCCCGCCCGGCGCCGCCCATGCCCCAGGAGCACATCTCCTAACGCGACCCGCCCGCCTCGCGTGTCACCCGGGGACGGAAGCTCGACGCGCGAACTAGGGGCTCCTCTGACGCCTCCTCTGGAGGGGCCGGCGCTCTTGGAAAGTGGGGACTTTTGCTGAGGCAAGCAATCGAGGTGCGATCGCGCCGGGCTTTGCGCGGCTCGGGCCTCACGCGCGCCGCCCATTTCCCCCCGAGAGTCCTCGCCGACCGATCGACGGCGGCGATGCCCCCCCGACCGCGCCGCCTCAACCTCGCCGCCGTCCCCTTGGGCTTGGTCGTCGCCCTCTTCGTCCTGGGCGCCTTCGCCGTCCTCCGGCGCAACGGGAACCGCTTCGGCGACGGCGCCGACGCCCTCGAGTACCTCTCCGAGGCGCGGCGCGGCGGCCTGGCCGTGTCCA